GTGGCTCTGCAGAGGGCCCAGATTCAGTTTTCAGTACCCACATGAGTACTGGAAATTGTTTGTAGTTCCAGTTCCAGGAGATCTGATCCCCATTTTGGGTCTCCATGCCCCCAGGCACACACAATGCACATATATACATGTAGGCAAACAAAAATAAATATTAAACTCTGTTAATGTCACATAATATATTACGAGTACCATAGAAGAATAACTAGTCAATGAGGTGGATTCATAAGAAAACATTCATGGAAGTGAGAAATCATATGTCTTAGTGACCAGTGCCATTAATAATCTTTTTTGGGGAAAATATGTACTTGTTTGAGAAAAAAAATGGTAAGAAGTATCAGTAGGCGGCCACTTGGTTTCACAGTCAGATTTCTGGCCAAGATCTGTGCAGTAAACATCTCCAGAAAGTACTTCAGAAACATTGTGTGTCTCTGTTGTCACAAGGAAAATGTTGATTTGAAGAGCCTTACTAGAATCCAGTGTTGCCGAAGGAAGCTGGAAAAGACTTCTGAGGTGGCACCCCTAGAGTGTGTTCATTACCTCCTTATTCTAGAGTCTACTCGGATCTGACTGGGTAATTTCATTCTACCCAGCATTATTATTGTTTGACAGCATGATACTATGTCTTTTTAGACTCTGACTACACAAATCATAGTAATCCTTTTATTTCAGATTAATGAAAAACAATAGAAATAAAATTTTTACCTTTTTCTGATCTTATCAAATTTACCCACCTTCTAACTAAAATGCTGTTTTATTTTTAATTATTTAGTAGGTTTTTAAAATCAATATGAAAAATCCCCCAGGAACAGCGTTCACATTTTAATGAATTCCTGTCCCTTGGCTCACTCAGTTTTATCCTTTCTATCTTGCTGGCTGCCTGACACTCACCATGTTCTACATCTTCTCTCCATGTACTCGCATCATGAATCACATCCATATACTTGGTGAATTCACGACATTTACACACCCCTACAATGATTTTTAAATGTGTTTTCTTGAGTTGTAAGGTTGAGGATTAAAAGAAGAAACATGAAATCTCCCTTCTTTTGGTCACAGAGTTGATTGTAATTTTTAAAGCTGAAGGAGCTTATCCTTAAGTTCAGAATGAATGAATTGTAATGTCAGAACTTGTGAGTTTGATGGTTGCATTCAGTTGGGTGGTGATCTGAAAATAAGACTGCACTGGAATCACCAAATGGAGACACAAAGCCCCCCAGGACCAGATGGAGTCCAGTAGATTTCTTTCTTTGTGGGCGATGGTTAAGGGAGGCACAGGCTCTTCGTTGTTGATGATTGGCATGCATTGTCCCTGGGTTTGGTGCCTGTTTTCGTTTCCTTCTTTACTTTTTCTTTATTAAGAAAGATTTTATCCATTCTGAGGGGCTAGAGAGGTGGCTCAGTGGTTAAGAGCACTGACTGCTCTCCAGGGAGCCTGTATTATTTTTAGTTCTTTTTAAAGATGCAGTGCTAAGTGAGCCATTTTGTTCTTACTTGAAATTTTTAAGGAAAGGGAGGACAGTATTCAGTTATTGATGGTCCACTCTGCCAGTTATCATGTAGAAAGCCGTCCTGAGCTCTCCTCAGCTTCCCTTATCACAACGGCAGAGAGACTGCTGTGGTTATTCGGATAAGAAGACATGCCGCATAGAGTTCCCTGAATTCCATGAAGTCACACAACCGAGTAGCAAAGCCACTGTTTAAAGCCATCTTTGTACAGTTACAACATAGGTACAGCTACATGTGTCTGTGAAACCAAATACCAGTATATTTTATGGGCTGGGAACTTGGCTCAGTGGGCCTGCAGGACATGCGTGAGGACCCGAGTTTGACTCGTCAGCACTGCATGGAAAGCTGGACAAGGCTTTGCTTACCTGTAGTCACAGTGCTGGGAGGGAGGGAGGGAGGAAAGGAGAATTCCTCAGCTGCCTGGCCAGCAAGTCTAGCTGGTAAGTGTCCTCCAGACCCAGTGAGAGACATTGATTCAAAAGATAAGGTAAAGTAGACAAGGGGCACCGTAGTGCTCAGGAGCTTGTACACACACACACACACACACACACACACACACACACACACACACACTCACGACAAGCCCACCACATATACATATCACAGACATACACACGTATACCACATACACATCTCTCACACACACACACCTGTACACACACACACACACACACACACCTGGACCCATCTTGTGGTCACAGGCACTAGAAATAACCCTCACTCATGCTCCTGTAAGTAACCCCAGTAAATGCATTGCTTCACCAACTTGAACTTTGGTGGAATCCTTACTTTAGTCTGCTACTTCTCTATCTGGAATGAGTAGACATCTGTTCAAGTCTCCCCAGGAAAAGTCACAGGACAGAGAGGATGAACAGGAATGTCCTGTTTAAAACATACCCACAGCCTTTTGAAATTGAGGGACCAAGACAATAAAACTACGTAACAGGTAAGAACTGTAGTCAAGTGATGCCTTTTCCCCAGATTAGCTACAGTAAACACAGGAAGGAAGCCATGTGTCTGAGCTTCTAAATTTCAAGATGATGGACTAGCAAAATGGCTCAGCAGGTATAGGTGTTTATTTTCAAGCCTGACAACCTGAGTGTTTTTATCCCCAGACCTCATATGATGGAAGGAGAGAACTGACTCTCACAAGTTGTTCTTTGGTCTCTATAAGCATGCTGTGGCATATAATAAATATTTTTTTAAGTTTGAAAGGATGTACTGATGCAGAATTTATGACCAGCACATAAAATTCCTTTCTATTATTTCAATCCAAGCTCATAGATAGAGTTCCTTGGTGATGTGTGATCAAGGAAGGTACTAAAAAGGAGCACCAAGGGAAAAGAAAATGTGTTAGTATTCATCTGATTCAGGACCAAGCTTCGTTTGTGCTATTTATGGAACCAAAGAAACTGACCAGTCACCTGACTGGAACTGAATCATCAGGGTGGACATACCATTCTTTTTACACTTCAGTTCAGCTTTAGTAAATAATAATGGGATAATAATAATAATATTAATAAGAGGTGGGGATATGGAGAACCAGAAGTTCTTTTTTGTATTCAATTTTCTGGACCTATCAAGAGCCATAAGTAGCAGAAAATGTAAAATTTCACCTCCAGTCAGTGTTGCATTTTTCTTGTTTGGTGTGCCATTAGGTTGTGTAAGAGTGATATGTTTCTAAGCATGCTGTGCTGAACCAAGAGCTCAAGAATGAAAGAACTTAGTGTCTTAGACCATTTGCCCAGCTGATGACTTATAAACTAGGGTTTGGGATAAATTGAAGATGTGACTGCTCCAAGGTGTGGTTGAGGGGAAGATTTTTACTATAGATAGAAGGGAGGGTACAGCCAGAGGTATCTGGGAGAATCCAGAGCAGAGCCAGAAAGTAGTAGATTAAACATGGTCAGCAGACTGGACTTGGCCATAATGAGGATGGGAAGTGAGAGAGGAAGACCAAGAGAGTGTGGGCAAAGGAGACCAAGAAAGAGGGGTAAGAGGAGACTGAGAGAGGAAGACAAGAGAGGGACAGAAGTGCGAGAGCAAAGAGCATGCTAGACCAAAAAGCTGAAGCCCACAGGCCGGAGAAGTTTAGGATAGGGCCTGGGCTCAGAGGAGCTGAGAAAAGCCACAGGTAGTTGTGCAATGAGAGAGCCTGGAGGCCAGCATCCTTTTGGTATGCTAATAGATAGCACAGATGGCCATTTGTCCCTTCTGACAATGGTGAAGACTGGCTCCTTCGGTTGAGGGGAACAGGGGCCAGAGTTTGGGGGAGTGGAATTTCCTTTGGACCTGAGAAAGACTAAGGCAGCTATAGACTACTCACAGTCCTAAACTCACAGGCAATGTCCTGTATTAACACAGTGTAGAGACTTGTCCTAAAAAATCTTAAAGGATAAAACCTAAATGGAGCATTTGACTTATGATTGTGGCAGTTTTATCATAAGCATCAGTTTTCAGAGTTAATTTATGCAAAGTAAGATTAACCAGGATTTACTTTCTTGTAGGTCAAAATAAGGGTAAAGAAGGTTATGGACAGATGAATCTTTGTGGTATCTTATGAACAAACAAGCAACTCTGAATAGATTCACTGGTGAAAGAATTGTCAATTTAGTTGTAGTTGTTAAGTAGTTGTTGAGATGTATCAGTCAATATGATTAAAATTTTCCCCACAATATGGCATATTATAATCTTTAATAAATGCTTCTGATGAATAATTCCAGGATAAATGCATATTTACAGTTATTAAGTTTTTTGTGATGTATTCTGTTTCTGTTTTTTTTCCATTGTCAGTTCTTTGTGGGGTGAGCATATCCACCTCCAATTATTTTCATGGTTTGGGGTCATGGGACAGTATTATCTTTCAAAGGTTAAAGGCTCCTTTCTCAATCCATATTTGATTATCTTTGAATCTCTATTGCTGTGAGAACATGGTAGTTCTCTTTTCAGCCATAAAATTCCTAATGCATGGAGGTTTTGAAAGCTCAGTAGCAGTTCTCATTTTATTTGTTATGGGGTTCATTTAGAGGCATTTCCTGAAGAAACAATGTTCTTTGAGTCCTCTAAGGTAATGTGTTTGAATTCAGTCTACATAAAATACCAGTGATAAGCTTTCATGAGTCGCTCCATGATTTCATGATTTTAAGGGAGAAAACGTTGTGGCCAGCATTCAAGGTTTTTTAGTTGATGCTCTGTGCTTTAGACTTATTTTGTAATTATAGACTTTTAAACTGGAAATAATATCACTGAAATTATTACATTGAAGGAACTTCCCGCAGCTTTTGAGCTTTTCAAATGTCTTAAATCCTCATTTTGATAACACATTTGTGGTTGAATTCATTACTTTTTCTTAATGTGTAAAAAATGGTATAAATGATAAATTTTATGAAAAACTCATAGATTTAGATGGCTTATTCCCTTATTATTTCTACAATTTACTAGTTTTATTCTATTTAACAATGGAGCTTGCTTCTTTTATCTTTTAGGGTCGTTGCTCCAGGGAGAACTGCAAATATCTTCATCCGCCCCCACACTTAAAAACACAGTTGGAGATAAATGGACGAAATAACTTGATTCAGCAGAAGAACATGGCCATGTTGGCCCAGCAGATGCAGCTAGCCAATGCCATGATGCCTGGTGCCCCATTGCAGCCCGTGGTGAGCACACTTTCAGCCCCCTCCCTGTTTGTGTGGCCAAGTGCTCTGTGCCTGTGCTGAAGCGATGACTGTGTGTGAACCCACCAGCAGTGGCAATTGCCTGGTCTTTTCACCCTGTGAAGTTACTCACCTTCGTGCCAAAGGACTTTGGCCATTTACTGTCTAGCATTACTTCTCCTAACACTCTTTTCAAAGTGAATCATTTAGCTTTCAGGTGTTAACCTGATATTTGTTAAAATAGTCATCAGAATCGGTTTAGTTAAGATATATTCTGTATTACCTTTAAAGGTAATAATGATGTTTTACTTAAAAACAAGAAAGAAGATGTATATATAATAGTCTTTGATTTTGAGGCTATTTCTCCCTTTCTTCCCTCCTTGAAGAGAATCCCTGTAGTTTTCTTTTTCAAAAAAGGAGACCTTGTAAAACCTTAACTTGAAATTACTTTGTATTCACAAAGCCTAGACAATTTTTCACAGTGGTGAGTCATAACCACAGGCTTGAAAGTCTTATCTGAAAAGAACTAATCATAACTCCAAGAGCCTTTGCAAATAGCTAGATTTGATAATATACGAGTCATTACAGATATTTAATATTTTCCTAGCTGTGTGTGGGGGTAACTTGCTTATGGATACACATACCTCTTTAAGTGTTTAGATTGTTGATGTGCATGTGGTAAATGACTTTAATAATCTTGTTTATGCCATAGTTAATGTTTGTTTGAATGTTAATTATAGTACAGAAATCCTGAATTACTTAACATATGCTGAAATTTGTAGTGATCCGAATAATGTCTGACAGTAATTTATCACTAACATATTATTAATGTATTATAAGGTCATGAAAACACATTTTTCTAGTTTGTTAATTATAGCATGCGTGCTAACTGATTTTTTTTCTAATACATTTTAATCCCTGAACTCAATGTAATTATTATTCTCTCTTAGAACTTAATGCAACAATCATTCCAAAAAAGAGGGGGGGATTGCAATTCGAGGTGGGAGGGATCCCCATATTACACCGGCAGTGATACCAATTATCAATACTGTACAGTCGAGGTGAGAGAATATTATAATTAATTCTCTATCATTTTAATCTGATTTTTATTTTATTACATTATTGGGGGCTCAGTTAAAATGTGATATCTTTATTTTTATGGCATCTTCTATTTTTATATGTCTATATTGTGATAACATAAATATTTTCATTTGGTTAAAAATGTTGAATCATTCTTTCTTCCAGAAAATACAGGGCAAAAATACTCTCTTGCACTTGGCCCTCATGTATGGTTTCAAAGATCTGAGGTAGTTTCTACTTACTAGCCACTTGTTTAAGGTTGTTCCTCCTAGATTTGAAGTCCTCTTTCCACTTAAACTTGTAAATCATACTTACTGATGTTCTGAGGTCTCTGTGACCCAGAACACTTCTGAGATGGGCAAGTGTAGGTCTGGGATGGAAGAGGACACTCCCCACCATGGCCCTGAGATGCTCTCTATGATGTCTTGGGCCATCTCCTGACCTTGTCCTTAATTCCTATTCTCAAGGCTGATTCAAGGTCATCTATACTTAGCTCTGGGACAAACTGACAAAGACTTTTATTCTTTTTGAAATGCTAGTGGCATATGTGTTTTACATAGTCACTAAATCATAGATTTCTGAAACCATCAGTACTTAGATTTCTGATACTTTTGTTAGAAAATTTTCTGCTTAGATAAAGTAATTATCTGTATTAGTTATGAGCACAGGCTTTATGTTAATTTTCCCCTCACATCATTATATTTCAGTGGGAATTACCCTCTGCAAAGGTATTGTGAAACCATAGTTGAAAAGTCTCTATTTAGGATGATGTTTTTATAATAAGTATTGAAATTATTTTAATTATTCAAACCTAAAGCATTTTTACTATAATGACTGTAGAGAAGGCTGTAATCCAGGAAATTTGCCTTCACAACCCCACCTGAGACTTTTTGATCTTCTTTGTAGTCAGCCTTGTTTTGATGAGGATAATGATACAGAAATAAATGGGATAGTCATAACCAACTGCTTTCTGGGACTTTAATTTGGGATACTTATAGTGAATACAACTGAGCTATAAGCTGCCTTGTCGCTAACATAGAGAACTGTGGCTCTGAACACACATGGCAGCGTTTGGGGATATAGTAAAACATGGACACACAGGTCGGGCAGTAGTGGTATGAAAGTGGAGATTCTGTGAGCAGATCCCCAGCATTGGAGCATTGGGATTTCAGAAGCCTATAAGGAGAGACAAAGATTGCAATCAATAAATGACAATATTATAGTTCTCAGGGCTCAACCAGTTAAGCCCCCAAACTTAGTATGAACAACGAGGGGAGAGAGAATGGGACAGAATGAAAGCAAGCGTAGAAGTATCCAGGATTATGTCTCATGTAGGAGAGGTCCATAACTGACAGAAATGGAAGGAAGGAAGGAGTTGCCCAGTCATCTGTAATTCAGACAGAGGTTCATAGTGGTTTCTCCACCCCGAAAATAGAAGGAATTATAACTCAGAGCCAGGGTATAAGCCAGACATGACAGCTTCCAATGGGCTACAGTGGTCAGCACTTGTCAGCAGCATATTTCCAAGGCAGGTGAGATGACTGTTAGGCCGACAGCCACTGTACCCTCAGACCATGACACAGTGCTGGTAACTTGGGTAATGCAAGAATTTATAGGAGACTTTCCTGCTTTCATTAGAGTGCCATGCAGTATACCAATTAAGTAACATTTTAGAAACAAATTAATAGCTTGAGGGCATCTAGTGTGCTTAGCACTTCCATATATACCTTTCTCACAACTTTCCTGTGAGGTAGGTAACATTATCTCAGGTTTAGAGATGAAGGCCCAGATGTTCAGAGAGGTCGCCTATGCGGCTCATGCTGCACACACAGCTAGTCAGTTGGCAAAGTCAAAATTTCAACCAAGCCTTGCTGATGCAGAGCTCATGTGGTAAAAGCATATAATGAACAGACTATCTTGCTACTCTGGATCTTTGGCTATTTAAGCTCTTTGATCTTCAATATGGAGATAAAACATTAAATATATTATCTAGAAAGTCTTTATAATGGTATAGACATCATTCCCGTTTCACAGGACTAGTAAAAAAGGGAGTTGGATGTAAGAAATGGAATTCTATGTATGTCTAATTCCTTGAAAGTTCACACAATGAATTATAGATTTTTTTTTTGGCATTAACTCTACTTGGCATTACAATTCTTAATAAAAATATAAATCATCATTTTTACTTGTTTATCATCTATGATCTTTAAAAATAAATGAGATTATAGCATTAGTTTAAAAAAAAAACTGTGTTCTTTCATAAGTGCCACATCATAGCTGGCAGCTGTGATCTAATGAGAAATTGGCATACAATCTAACTGATGCTGAAATGTATCCTCTGGGTGACAACCTGGAGGCACCTGATATGTCTTTAGGCCCCAGAATTACATTCTTAGAGAGCTTTTCCTCCAAGCTCTCTGCATTGCAAAGAGATCTGTGTAATCAGTGGGTACCAAGAATTGAACACAAGCTCAGGAGTTCCATTAATGTTCCTGCATCTGCTTTACTTGGGACCTGGGTTAGCAGGAACTATCCAGAGTTTCAGGAGCAGGTGTTCCTCAGGCACTTTGGGACACATAGCCTGTGTAGAGAGTCAGTGGATCTGATGTGTGTGTGAGCAATCCAGAGTTCTCAGATTCAGGTCTTGTCTCCAGTTGCAGTGATTCCCTTGTCCCCTTGCCTTTGCCACCCTTTCATGTTCCCAGTGTTTCTTGGCAGTGGGGTGCAGAATGCTTTGAAGACATCTGTTGTCACACTTCGAGGAACACCTCGAAATCACCAGTACTTTCTTTGCTTTACTGTCTTGGTTATCCACCTCATGACAGTAGATAGAGCCTATAGTGTCTCTAGAAAAGATGTTTCTACATCAGTCACATTGACTCGTTCATCTGTCCTGCCACGCACCAGTGAGTCTGTAAATTCTTAAACAGCCTGAGATCAGGACCTGAACTCTAACAACAGACCTGTGTTCCTTTGAAATCTTTTTCCTGAGAGAGTCTCAAGTGAGACTTCACTGTTTAAATGTTCATTTCAGTAAAACTGGACCAAAGGATACAGTGAGGCAGAGTAAGGCAAGCACTCCTTACTCTTCCCATTCACAGGTCAGGCTGGGAGTAGAGTCCACAACAGAGCCCTCAATAGTCCACAACAGCCTTTGCTTTATTCAAGTCTCATGCTACATTCTTAGACAAAGACTTGCATGTGAATTTATGGGAATAATTCCTGTTAGCTTTGAGTGTTGTCTGTATGCAAAACAATTGCTCACCTAGACTAGTTCTGTCTCTGGTTACAAAATGGTGCTTACCTGGAAACAGCTGCCCACACTCAGGATATCCTGGAACTATTGTAACAGAGCTTTGTTTTTCACAAACAAAGCTTTTGTTTTGCTTGCAAATTTGACTGAAGCATACACATGTACACATACACACGTTATACTAAGCATATACATATACACATGCACATGTTATACTAAGCATGCACAGGTATACATGCATACATTCTACTAAGCATACACATGTACACATTATACTAAGCATACACACGTACACATGCACACGTTATACTAAGCATGCACAGGTATACATGCACACATTCTACTAAGGATACACATGTGCACATGCACTCACTCTACTAAACATGCACATGTACACATGCAAACATTCTAGGAAAATCTGACTTGTAAAATTTCTGTTCCATAAATCTCATGATAATAAATTTTGCATTATAACCCTTCCATTTTATAAAAAAAATACTATTTCAATGTTTTAAAATAAACAACCCCGTGTTGTTTGCAGTATTACAGAATAGTAATTATAATACTTAAGATGTAATGTTTAATATAAAATTAGGAAACAAAAAAATTAAACTTTTAAATAGTCATTAAAAAGTAACAGCTAAACTCTGAGGTGGAAAGGAATATATAATTAAATCTCTTTAGTATCCAGATAGCTATGCTAGAAAATATATCATGTATTTGCTACTTTCTCTGACAAAGAAAAGCAGTTAGCAAATCTGTGATGGATATGTTGTGCAATAGTCACAGAGGTGGGCACAGTGCCAGTTGCCGGATGGATACAGAGTTGCAGGTACAGAAGTCACTGCTCTTTGGGAACCTGCAGCTTGGTGGGAGCAGAGGAAACACAGGTGGCATAAGGAGTCAGCGTTACCTTCCAGTGAGGGTGGGGTTTATGAGACAGAGGGTTGTGGTGTGGATCCCCTGGGGAAATGTAGAGGTAGAATTCTGGCTCCTGAAGCCTATCTAGGAGTTAGACAGGTGGGCTGGGAGCAGTCAGTGTTGCCTGAAATCCACATTCGTCAAACGAGAACCAGAAAGGAACTGGACTCCTTAAAAACCTTGTGTCCAATCAGGAAGGGAACCTATGTCTTTAAATGCCTGGGAATTTTAATTTTAATTTAATTTAAATGCCTGGTATCACCTAGAAGCTTTCAAAAAATACTGCTACCTAGATACCTTTCCTGGGAATTCAGACAAAGAGGCGTGGCCTAGAAAACCACAGCTTAAAAGTCTTCCAGGTAATTATAATTCTCACTTGATTGTTATGTGAGGACCAGCTTTCAAACAAGATTAGAATCAGACTCAAATGTGTTCAATCTCTGACCTTCCATTCACTCATTTATAAATGATGGGCACATAATATTTGTGAACATTTTATTTAGAAAATAGACATAATTATATCCCCCAAAAAAGTGGCAGTTCGTTCATTGAATGCCTACTGTAGGCCAGGCATAGTTCTGTGTTATGGGGACTTAGAAAGGAACTAAAAGATATCTTCCTACTCTCCCAAACCCACAAAAGAAAGTTCAAAGGAAGAAAAGCCTTATATTAGAAAATTAAATATAATGTAAGTAAAGTACTTATCACAATGCTGGCAGACCACTGACAGGGAATTACTAGTAATAATCATGTTTGTGTAGTTAACTAGGATCGTAATATGAAATTGAATAATGTATTCAGTTATAATGAAGTCTGATTACCTTAATGTAAGCAGAATGTCTCATTTAAAACGAAACAAGTGATAAATAAACAGCCCCACAATTAGTGAATGTGCAGTTTGTTTATCTTACTGGAAAATGTCCTGGAAAAAGGGAGTCATAAACCAACCTCCTTTATGCCTTCTTGGAACAAATATATCTATAAGTCATTGTTACAAGGATGTATTCAGTACCAATTATGCCAGTTACATAGTTAGACATTATCCAATCAGTACTTCAGAGAAAATAAGGGCTACTTTAAATATCAGTGTATCAGTTCCCATCTTTGAGATCTTACGAGCCCTCTGCAGGACAGCTCTGGAAATGCAGGAGTGGCCGTCCTCACAAGAGCGAAATTCCTAAGGGTTAGTGGCTAACAGTAAACAACCCCCAGCACAAGGTGCTCATAATGTGTAACATCTATATTTTATCCATATATTGGTTTTCACTGTATTGTATTTGATGACATTTAACAAAGCTGAGTTTTATTGGCCTCCTGTCATTATTTTGTCCAGTCAGAATACATTTCTTCATCTGAATGACTTTATGAATTCAACCTTTGCCTTAAAGTAATTATTGTAGTGTACAGTGACATAGTCATTTCAGTAACTTTCTGAAGGAGGTAGTAAATGGGCTTTCTGGAAACCTGTTTTAATTCACAGCAATGGGATGCAAAGAGGATAGAAATTAACTAGCTCCCAGTCTTTTAGAACTCTGCTAAATTTCCAGTAATTCTTCTATCTGCTTACGGCACTGGTCTAGATGGGTTTCCATGCACTATGTCTGACTTGTGCAACACAATACAGATTTGACTATAATATTCGTGGACAGAAGTTGAAGTGTAATGTATGATCACCATGCAGGACTGCTCTTATCATGTTGCTGGCCTGGCCTCCGGTACACAAGGAGGCATCCTGAAGTCAGCTGCTGTTCAAGGAACTGCTGAGAGACAGATGCCACTGGGGCCAGTTGTAGATATGGATGCTGGTTGTTAATAGTGTAACATATGAAATAGTTTCCTATCGCCTGAGGGTAGCTGCTTTGCCCTGGGATAGGTTAGAGGGGTTGGAGTTGAAAGTCTTATTTCAGTCTACTTCATCTTTCAAGAGCCATAGACCTGTCAAAGTAGCTAAGCTTGGTATTCAAAACGACGTGCTTGGAGGACTAGGTTATGTTAGCTTGAAAATATCAGTGTGAGCTATGCTGTGTATTAAGTTCTTCCCAGTGAGCCAAAGTACATATTAAATATTCTGTTTTTCCTATTCTGCCTAGCACAAATGTGTATGCAATGCAGAGTTGTCATGTAGAATCCATGCTCAACCTTAATGCAGAAGACTTTTGGGACCTAATACATTTCTTATGGAAGAATGTCACTTGCACTTAGTAGTATCCCTGGCTTTTCTCCATTAAATGCAGTAGTACCACCCTAGTGTGACAAAAGAATGCAGATATTGCCACATGTTTCCTCGGAGGTAGGGTCACCCAGAATAAGAACCATTGCTTTGTGTGGAAGGGTCTGAGTGAACATCATTTTATCCCTCTGCATGTACAATGTCATAGAGAGATTATGGAAATGACATATTTTATTTTGTAATTTGTTTAATTTCATGTTATAGTAATAACTTTTGTAGTGTTTATCTTACTTTGCATAAAGTTTTATTGCAAAGCTTTCTTGAATCTTTCCCATACTCTGGCATCTTCTAACTTCTTGTCAGAGAGAATTGGCAGCACTTTAATCTAATACCATCTTAGTATAAAACTTCCATGGACCTATTTCTTACCACCAGAAAAAGAAACTAAAATGTTAAAAATTGCCTTTAAGTATGAGTACCATTTTTCCATGAGAGAGAGGGAAAGAAAGACTTAGAGACATACATATACATACATGCAGACAGACAGACACACACAGAGAGAATTTTTACACAAAGCATTAAATTTTAAAACTTTAAATTTTCGAAAATCCATAATCAGTAAAATTGTAAATTGTATCTTGTTACCTGGACAAACTGTTAAAATAGATTTCAGCGGACTATTCCGAAGGATCAGATCTAATTTGTGGCATTCATATTTGCATATCAAAAAGTAACATAAGTCTCATCTATCGAAGTATTTCCATCATAAATCCTATCTGTTGATAGCCCATCCTCTGCTGCCAGGTGTAATTCTTGAATAATTCTGTAGCATTTCCTGGGAAGTGTTCTGTTTCAGTCTTCACATTCTAGACTTTTCTCTTTCTAGTGAGGCTTATTCTACCGCTGAATGCCTCACAAGGATGTGATGGGCTCACAGAACATTGACCATTTCTTCTGAGAAACCCACATCCAGTGACTAGGCCAAATGCTATCTCCTCTACACTCAGAAGACAGTGTAATCTTTGCCTCTCATAGCCCACAAGACTTGCTAACTGTGTGCTGACGAGGGGACTCAGTGATCCCCTGGGACTTCTGTGCCTGCTCCAGATGATAGGACCCTTGTATCCAATTAACACTTGTCAACAGACCTTTCGAGTGTATCTGACACAGCAGTTACAAAATGTATATCTCAGAGAAGTTTCTAGCCTTGAGCTACCACAAAAGTGGAGACTGGGTGACCACAAACAAGTGTCTGCACTGGGATATTCAGGACAAAACCCCAAATATTTTAGATGCAAAGCTTCTGAAACCCTCTGGAGGTTTGCCTTCTAGATTTGAGGAGAAGCAATGACCTAGCAAATGTCTCTTTACTAAAGCCTTTTAGACTAAATTAAAATCAGAATTAAATAGAAATGAAGGAAGGAAGAATGAATCACAGATGAAGAATAAATGATAGTTGCGTAAAGTAGGGTATCAATTTGGAATTGAGGTCTGCAATTAAATTTTGCTTTCTGTTTTAATTTTCAGCCAATGTTTTCAGTTGCACCAAGCTTAGCCACCAATGCATCAGCAGCCTTTAATCCCTACCTGGGGCCTGTTTCCCCAAGCCTGGTTCCAGCAGAAATCTTGCCTACTGCGCCAATGTTGGTCACGGGGAATCCTGGAGTTCCAGTGCCAGCAGCTGCTGCAGCTGCTGCACAGAAGTTAATGCGGACAGACAGACTCGAGGTAAGACCAAGAATTGGATCTTCATAGTTTCCGTTACAGTTCTTCAAGTGTTTATGGCCTGAATGACTTTAAAAGCTGAAAGCAATGATTTTTTTTTTTTTTTTTTTTAGTATTTGTAGCATTTTGTTAGAATAGTTATGCTGTTTTGATTAATGTAATGGTTATAAAAGCTACAACAACATCCATGTTTAGGCTACTAGGTGAAGGCTTGGAACTGGGATGGGGTGCCTGTTACTTCACTATGCTTCAGTTTCCTTAAAATCTTTCACATGGTGCTAATACACATACCTCAAAGAATTATATATAAAAAAAAATTGTTTGGCATGGAAGAGTTGCTTCTTGAGTGTTTATCATTGTGGTATTGTAGCAATCAAAAATAACAAATGATTGATGCCCTAGGGCTCTCAGACATGGAACACATTGGCTACTGTACATGAAACATTCCAAAACTCACTGCAGATGTTCTCATAAGCTCTGGAGTACTTCCATTGAGACAGTGAGGCAGTTTTATGAAGTGTGCCCTTATAAAAGCATTTTTCTTAGAATGTCACTTCATTGTTTTAGTCATGGGATAGAAGATGAGCAAATGCTCAGGCTTTAATGTTGCTGACTGAAAAGGAAATTAACGTTACACATCCTAATTTGAAATTATTGTTCAGAATTTCAGCATGGCATGAATTAGCAGACTTGATAAAGAGTCTGTGTAGGAAAATGGACTCTGGGCTGAGACGTCCTGTGTGGACTAATTAAGGAATAAGCAGCAAAGTAGGGTGGTATGTGAAGACAGCTGAGTCTAATAACCTGTCAAGTTATCAGAAATATAATAAGTGCTAATATCTTATTTATTCAATAAATTTTATTGGATGTATTAGAAAGAATATCAAATTACAGCATTTTTGGCAGGATGTTCCCCCCAGACACAGAGACATCACTCCGTCTACCCTTAGAACAACCTGATGGGAAGACACTGTCATTACTGTTGTTTTATAGGGAAGTCAGAGTAGGAAAGGGATGTGACGTAACCTGTCCTTGACATAGAGATACACTCTGGTGTTTGGCTTCTCATTACACAAGCGTAGTTGTTCTCTAATGAATGCTGTCTGCAAGTGAAATAGGACAGCATTTGGATGAGTTTTATTCCCCTGGTTTTCATGAAAGATTCTTAATGCATGATTGTTAATTGACTAATGGGACTCAAATCGTCTGAGAGGAATGTCAGTATATTAATTATTCATAGGTAATAATACTCAAAACGTTGAAAGAATGGACTTAAAAAAACTAAGCTAAATTGTCAAAACTCTCTTTACTCCCTCAAAATTTTCGGTAGTTTTTCTACAGTTGTGTTTTGTGATTGTGTTTTCCTTTCCATGAAGAGCTGTTCGTGTGTTTTGTCATTACCTTTGCGACTGCTAGAACAATCTTTCCTCCTGTGTTATAGCAGTGGGCATGCCCTCCCTTCTGTTGACAGATCTGAGTCATTGTCACAGTCACAGGGCCTGCTGTGGGAAACATGCATTGCCTCTCTCTGCTCTGCCTTGTGATTCCAGAGCACCCCAACACCTCCAGTGCTGGCATGCTGGAGGCAGAAGGACATGGAAGGAGTGCCCGCAGTTCTGTCCTCATGGTTGACACCTAGGATTAGTTAGAGATTAAAGTCATGTTCTAGCCTAAAATATTTTTTGAATTTTTTTTCTTCTGAGGTAAAATTGTTCTAAAACAGTTAAGATCTTGACTTGGTTCTTCTTCCTATATCTTTTCCTCCTTGTCTATAATTGTCACACAATAAAGAGATTTAAAATGCTTCTGGTTTGTATATATCACTTAGAAATACTAGTGTTGACAGTACCAATTGGATACAAAGGTCTGAAGTTGGAAAATAGAGAGCCATTGGTCACTGCTTATATGGTAGTTAACTATATAAACTTGGTTTGTCACATTGGCTCTATGTTGCTTATATATAAAATTTGAGGATTGCACTGTTTTATCTTTAATGTCACAGAGCATTTAAATCATTCTTTGGCATTCAATAGCAACTATAAGTAGTATTGAAACATTTATTACACACATTGCACATATATACACACATATATGCACACATATATGTATATTATGTGCACATCATAAATGCATAGCATCTGTATCATTATGCTCATCCATTCTTTGTTGGATATTTTTAGGAAGATTATATGTTCTGTACTATAAAGCTCAGGCTGTGGTTTTCTCTTAAAGGGAGGTCAATCTGTTAGTCACCAAAAAGATGCTCCTAAAATTCTGCTTTGTGGCCATGGGAGTCTTTCTGTAATTCCTAAGCATCACTTTAATGCTTAAAGAGTATTTTAAGAAATTATTACAGTGTGTACAGGTATTAGAAATGGCTAAGACTTAATTTAAGGTTATGTCTATGCTTCATTACAAAACATTAATAATAATGGAAATCATTGACTTATTCTAAAGAGTCATAGTAAGCTTTCATGGTACAAAATGGATCCATGGATGTGTGTATGCTCCCATATCCAGTAGAGAACTATATTGCATGTCCTTCAAGTTAAAGGTGTTGTGAATATCTGTGAAGCCTTTTACTTGCTGTCTGTTACCAAGGGCAAGAAAGGGCCCTCCTAAGAATAGTACTGCTCATGTAACTTCTACCCTGTAACTTTAAATGTCAACCCATTCACCTGCTAGTAAATTAACTAGTCACAGAAAGACATAACAATTTTGAGGAAAAGTTTAAACATTTGTTGGCATACCTTTGGGGATATGTTTAGGTTTTTGCCATTCCGATTAGAAAATGTGTTATCTTGCTTGTACTTTTAGACATGGTACAGGGTTTGTTTACTGACTTACCTAGGACTAGGATCACTTGGGGTGGTAGTTTATACGTGGCAGCCTCATCCATATATACATACTGGTTCGGTAGTAGGTCTCAGGAATTTTTTCACTTATCAGACAAGTGATTGTCAATGCAAATAGTCTTCAGAGCACTTGCTATATAACTCCCAACTTTTCACAACTTCTTCAAGTGTTGTTTGTTACTCTGAACTGAAAATGTACTTCTTCTAATGCACGTATTTTTGTAGACTGCTAAGTTACAGTGAGAATTGTTCGCAGCATACTGAAGGATTTTAGACATAGTGACAGTTATTAAAGTAGTTCATACCACACAGTAGTAACCAAGCACACCTCAGTGGCTGCATGATTCAAAGACTAAGTATGACATTTCTTTGTTTTTTTTTTTTCTGACTGTTTTTCCTCTATTAACTATTAAGGTTTACAATTATCCTACCAAAGTTTTGTTAGAAATAGGATTTAGAATGTTGTTGGTGAGGATTACAGTTGAGGTGTTGCATTTCCTGCTAAAAGCATCTTTTTCTCCATTTCCTGTTATTCTTTTTTTTTGTTTGTTTGTTTTTTTGTTTTTTGGTTTTTCGAGACAGGGTCTCTCTGTATAGCTTTGCGCCTTTCCTGGAACTCACTTGGTAGTCCAGGCTGGCCTTGAACTCACAGAGATCCGCCTGGCTCTGCCTCCCGAGTGCTGGGATTAAAGGCGTGCGCCACCACCGCCCAGCATTTCCTGTTATTCTATAGACACCAGCCTGGCATCTGATATCAGCTCTGTTTTGATGTTCACAGAGTAAGAAACTCAGTGTTTGGTTTGACTGAGTCTTTTTTTGTGTATGGCTTAGTATATATCATCATTTTAATTTTGGTTTGAAAAACATTTATCAAACTACAGGAAATACCCAAAATTTTTGACCCACAAATTTCTTTTATACATATTAACATTAGAAGATTATCCAAAATGCCTATTGTTGTATTTCCTTGGCAAAAGTGTTTGTAATATGAAAACAATGGAAGTAATCTATATTATCTACTTAAGAGTCACTCATAGTCTATGCAGTATTTGATATCTGCGATGCAATCAGAAATGATGACTTGGAGCTTGTGTAGAAAAATGAAAATGTTGATACTAGTAAGGCATTGTTTTCTGAAAAAGGTAACCAAGTTGTAGCTAAATCGTGATCCTAGTCATATAAAATGTGTGCAAACAGAAAACTGCTCAAGAGGAAAATGGAGTCAGGATATTGCTTGGATATTTTTTATTTAATTTTGTCATCTCTGCTGTAAATTTGCTGGTAAATTTTATAAGTTCTCATGTTTTGAATTATGAGATTAAATAGGTTGAGAATTTTGTCAATTTTATTTTACCAATATAAACTACGTCTAAAAGTTTTGTTTTAATTGGGTTGGTAAACCTAGTCTGAAGTTTTTTCAAATTTTCAGAAAAAGGAAGAAAGCAAACCCACATTCAGCAGTCAGCGGGTAGACCCCATTTTACTGGTGGTGATTGTTAGGAGAAAATGTGTTTTCAAGTTGGCTTCATTTAGTGCCCAACATTCCAGAGTCCATCTATCTGCCAAACCTTCCCTGTAGTCTCTCAGCAGTCAAACTTTCATGAGGTTTTTCCTTCACTATTCCCCTAAAATGTAAACGAATGTGAGGGTAGCAGTGTGTATGTTTCTCCAGCACCACCACCCCTCCATCAGTACAAAAGAACTGGGGAAAGAAAAAAAAAAAAAAACTTAAAGTCAAAAATGCAGCAAAAAAGAACAATTGACTTTAAAACCTTTAAAATTTACTTGAAAGCTTTATTGATGCCTAGTTATCACCTCGGATTAAGCATTTGTAGGACCCTCCCTCCTTGCATTCCAGAAAAGAATGAAGTGTGCATGGTAGTCAAGCCATCTTTAACCTATAGAAACCATACATGCACAAAGGGAGCTGACAAATGCATCCCTTTAGGTTCTAGGTCTTCCTGCCAATGTGGCAAGAGTGAAAACGGTTTTAGGTCTTTGCTTTTGGTACTGCTTAGGCAGACTTAGGTTAGAGTTACTGAGAACTGACTAGAGAGAGTACGTGGGGACCAGTCTGAGCTTCCTCTTGGGTGAAGCCATATTGACAAACTGGCTTAAGCACAGAAGTGACCTTTCTGTTTATAACGCAATGTTAGAAACATAAAACAGAATATGTATTTTATGGGCAGGTATGCTCACTATGTTGTAATGTATGTCTTGCGGGGTATCTGTTTTCCTGGTTCCTGTGAAAAGCTTGTCGTTTTTTAGCAGGCTCCAGGAACCTGAGTTCCGAAGGCCCCATCACTTCTTTTTGTACTCAGCTAGAGAAGGGATTGTCCTGAACATAGCTTGTCCACATTTGCTTTCTAGATTGTGAACTCGTAATTACACTTGAGTTTTATTTGTTCTGTTCAAGAAGGTGAATATATTAATAAGAACAACCTTTTGTAACTTTCTAAATCATCTGTATCCTTAGTTATTCAATATACTTAAAAAATGAATAAACGAGAATGGTGGAGCCAGGTCGTTGCTGTGCTGTGGCATACAGCTAGTCTTACTAGCTGAGAGTTGCCCAGTAGCCACATGCTTTTTAATATGTAGCCAATCCCAAGTTCTTAGTATGAACTGCTTTCCCCTATAATGGGATATTGCCATAGTAGGGCCTGCGTTTAAATGTAGTCATTTTTATTAGTACCTTTAAAATCATATCATCTCCTTGCTTAACTACAAAACAGTGTCCAGTGTCTACAGTTGCCCGGTTGGGGGAGGAGGCATCCTTGAAGTATAAAAACTGTGTCTTTTATACTTACTGTGTCACTGTAAACAGTTGAGGAGGTCGGAAGCTAGCACACACAATAAAGTCAAGTCATTCAGTGTTTTAGATGGCCCTCTGGTGGTCAAAAGATCAAACTCCCAAAGGGAGACTTGGAAACTTCAGTAATAAGATTCAAAGAGCAAATGAATGAGAAAGAAGCCATTTTCTCTCTTCCCCAGGACCCCCACACCGAAATTAACAGGTAGAAAGCAAGTAGACAGTAACACGGTGAGTCTTTCTCTACCTACTTTATACAACTGCCAAGTGAATGTGTACTGCTCAAAAGTGACTCCTGGAAACATGTTGGTGGAAGTGCTCTCAGCTTAGAATGTTTTGTGTTTTTCCCTGAGCACTAATTTCTATTTAACCAAAAGTTACAAGTACATAACCAAAAGTTCTTGCCTGACATTCACTAAACTAAATATTAACATCTTAAATAACTTCAGTACCACTTATAAATCCAGTAATTTAACTTTGATTTACTATGAGTTAAGTAATCTGTAGATCTGAATCAGATTTAATTTAAATTTCAAATTACATTATTTATTTATTTATGTGTATATGTGTCTGGTCACTTGCATGCCACAGAGTATATGTTGAGATCAAAGGACAGTTTTCAGGAGTCAGTTCTCTCCTTGAACCATGTGGGTTCCAGCGATCAAGCTCAGGTTGTCAGGTTGGGTAGCATCTCATCAGCTCCTGTGTCAGATGTAAGCAACCATCCCACCAGCATCCTTTTTCTGGCTCCATGGTGTCCAGTCCATGACAGTATCTTTCTTATCTCAATGGTCTTGACACTTTGAAAGAATGTTCAGTTATTTTGCAAAATGCTTCCCATTTAGTGTATCTAGTATTTCCTCAAGATTAACAATTGGCAGTGATTACAAATGACATGTGTGATGTGGGGTTTTTTTTGGGGGGGAGGGAGGTTGTCACATTAATAGAGAGTAGTGTTCCTATGTCTCATTCTTTCTGAATATTCATGTGTTCACTTGGTGCAAGTGGTATCTGCTGGCTTTCTTCACTATAAAGTCCGTATTTTTCCCCTTGGTAATTCATTAGTACACCGACACAGTACTTGAATAGATGTTTTATTGTATGCTTTCCATTCATCATGAACATCTTTTCTTTCTCAAGGACATTTCACTAGAAAGGTGCTATATAGGCACACTAAGCACCGTCAAATTATGCTGCTGCATTGCTCTAGTTTGCCATTCTCCGCCATATCCACCCTTGGTCACCAGTTTGGATAGTTGAATTACTGTCTTCAGAAGGGACCTGCTTGCTCACGTTGACTGAATCCCATTCATTTAATGACCTTGTAGGTGTGTCGAGAGTACCAACGAGGCAACTGCAACCGAGGAGAAAATGATTGTCGGTTTGCTCATCCTGCTGACAGCACAATGATTGACACCAATGACAACACAGTCACTGTCTGCATGGATTACATCAAAGGGAGATGCTCTCGGGAAAAGTGCAAATACTTTCATCCTCCTGCACACCTGCAAGCCAAGATCAAGGCTGCCCAATACCAGGTCAACCAGGCTGCAGCAGCACAGGCTGCAGCCACTGCAGCTGCCATGGTGAGTAGAGACATCAGTGCCCTTCCTGTCAGCAGTCCAGAAGAAGTGAACAATGTGTCTACTACAAGCTCTTCATCTATTAACCTCTTCTTTATGTTTTGCTGAAGATATGTTTGTTCAGGTATCCCACACAATACATAAAGAAGCTCCCATTCACAGAAGGGAGGGTAACTCCTCAGATGGTTCAGATTGTTCCTCCTCTTGGCCTAACCCCTAAGAACCTGTCTTATTCTGGATATAGGGTTTCTGAAATTCCTGCTTCATAAAGAACCACTTGTCTCCTTTCTGACTTAACAACCCTGCTGTCTCCAGTCTCTGATTTCTGCATACCATCGAGTCAGCCATTGTTCTCCTTGGGTGTGTTCTTTTGCACATCACGGCTCCTCTTTACATTTATCTTGCTTCTAATAACATAATCTGAAACTATTTAGGAGAATTGCTTCAACAAAATTGTTTTTAAATTAGCTGCAACATTTTGAATAGCCCACCATCTAGATAGTTTGAAGGCCTACTATGGCATAAATATGATTATTGAAGTGCCAAACCTTGACTAAGCCATTATATAGGAAGGAAAAAAAAACAGCACTACTCAAAGAGTTAAAAATTGGATCATTTAGACTAGATACTAAATGGTTTCTCTTAAGATAAACTTCAATGTGACCTAGTAGCTTAGTTTAGGAGTCCATTTCTTGGCTTAGCTGTTTTAGTGTTGTCCTTTCTATATAAATATATAACTTATTTAAATATTCATAAAACATCATTGTCACTGCACAGTAAAATGATCATGAGAGAGGTCTTTTCTGTGTTTGTTTATGGATACTTGAGCAAAAATACAGAAGGCAGACTCTCTCCTTTTCTCTTTCCTTCACTCCCTTTTTTTTTCCTTTAGAGTATTTTTTTGTAATTAACTACAAAGGGGAATTATCCTCCAATAACAACTCAATAGTGCCTTTATTGTGCATGCTTAGTCTTGTTATTCGTTGTATATGGCATTCCGATGATTTGTTTTTTTATTTGTTTTTTCTCACCTACCCAAAATGCACTGCTGCCCCCATGATGCACCTCTGCTTGCTGTTTATGTTAATGCGCTTGAACCCCACTGGCCCATTGCCATCATGTGCTCGCTGCCTGCTAATTAAGACTCAGTCGGCTGTCAAATCACTGAAGCGACCCCTCGAGGCAACCTTTGACCTGGTACTATGACCTTTCACCTTTTAGCTTGGCATGTAGCTTTATTGTAGATACAAGGTTTTTTGGTTTTTTTGTTTTGTTTTGTTTTTGTTTTTAACCAGTTAAAATATATATAATCCTTTTCCTGTTTAAAGTGGTAAAGTACAATGAAAAACTGAGTGTGGTTTCCTGAAACATGAGCAGAAAGACCTAAAATGGGTATATAGATGGCTATGGTACAATGAAAGACTGGAATCCCAGCAGCCCACATTCAGTTTAACTCCATTGTAAAGCGTTCTAATGAAATACTTGGAGGACAATAAAGTGTGGTTTTCACTGTATATTTATGTACCTGTGTGGTTAGCATGGCTTTAGTGATAGAAGTCTTTACTTTTTAACATGTCTAGCGCAGTATTTCAGGAGAGTTTGCATGCTCTGGGACATTTGCATGTGTCAGCAGGTTGGGGAGGGCAGAGCTGGCAGGATGTCATCTCCCTGGCCAGTCACTGTACACTTAACTATTAACAGTGCTTCTACTCGTCAGTCCTCATGGAGCTCGCACTGCAGCTTTCCTTCTTTCCCAAGTCAACGGCTTCTCACAGAAAGCCTGAAGCATTATGGGACATAAAACACCTTACTCATTATAACATATGCTCTTGTGACTAGTGGGCTTTTGTTGTGGACGAAATAATGCTTCCTTTAAAGCTTTTATCTTGCTGAATTTCTTGAGTTGGTTTTGCCGACTGGATTTGTCCCCTGGGTAGTTAAGTGCTCCGCTGCTTGCTTGCTCGTGCTCCCCAAAGGTTTTAGCCGACAACTGATTTTTCTTTTTTCTTTTCTCTTTTTACTGGTATTTGTTTTTATACTCATTCACCAAACAGGGAATTCCTCAAGCTGTACTTCCCCCATTGCCAAAGAGGCCTGCTCTTGAAAAAACCAACGGTGCCACCGCAGTCTTTAACACTGGTATTTTCCAATACCAACAGGCTCTAGCCAACATGCAGTTACAGCAGCATACAGCGTTTCTCCCACCAGGTAAGGGCTTGGATTTGCTACGGAATGCATCTGTGATGATCTGCACAGGGTTCTCCTGTTAGAGCAGGCACAAACCTGCAGCCCAGGTTAGCTGTCAGGCACAGAGAGGGTGTACGGTAAGGTAGTCAGTCAGCTGGGGAGACGCTCAGTTCTCTCATGAATGGCTTTCCTTTAAAACTGAAACGCTTACTGAGACAGAGATGTTTTATATATTTATTGGTGTTTCTGCTATTTGGAATTGAAATATTCTCTCTTTCTCTCTTTCCTCAACACTGTTGTATGTTTGTCAAGCTGTGTTATGATGCTCTCCTGCTGTAAGACCCCTTTGCCTTCAAGATTCCACAATTTTATGAAATGACTCAAATTTGACATTTTCAACCTTTAGCTTGCAAAATCGACCAAGACCATTAAAATTTATTCATCCTAGAGCTCTTAAGATGTGCTCTTCGTATTAATTATGCATTGCTAAAATTATTCTTGTTCCTATGCTGAAGTCAAATAGCTCTAAGTTCCCTTGGTGTTTGTATTTACTGCTTAGTCATCCCATGATATTCCTGTTTAGTGCTGAGTCATGTACCTGTGTTTCCAGTTCGCTTTTAGCGTGGTCACATACACATACTCTTACTCATAGAGATTTAGAGTTAAAAACACTAATAACTAAATTAGTTGGTTAGAAATTTACTATTTCAACATTTTTAATGTATTTTGTAAGTTTTTTAACTTTTTATATCTTATATTTTGAAATTAATTAGCAAGACTTCCTAATCTCTTTTTCTTTCTTATGCATAAGGTTTTATTTTGAGAACACTATGAATATATATATCTATGATACTTTTGATAAAATAATTTATTAAAAATTTATTAAATTAATAGCTAGGTATATACATCATGTATCTAGTACCCTATGCTAGTAACAGTATTTAGAGTATCACATTCTTGTCATATTAAAGAATGGGATAGTTTTCTTTTAGATTTATTAGCAAATTAATACATTATGCTCATATTAGATGTTACTGGGAAATAAAACTTTCATACAGTTTATTTCTGAATAAAATATAGAATTTTGTATATGGCCATCCACACATAGAATAAATCAGCTGGCTAAAATAGTTCATTAAAATGCTCCAGGTTAAAATAATAGCTATATTCTTGAGTTAACGTTGTTCAAGTTGGAATTCGTCCATATTAGGATCAAAGTTAAATGACTTTACTATGTAACATGGTCATTGATCTTAGTGACGTTTTCACACTAAAAGCACATGATATTTGTCATCTCCTTCTATAGGGTTGTTCAGAGACTTCCAGTAATTCATCTTTTTGCTTTTTTGTTAAGTTTTGTTGCTGCTAGATTTTTACTGTTTTCAATGAACAGTTGCTCACTTTCATGTAACCAGATCCCAAGCTAGGTTTGAAGGGATTATTAGAATAGTTAAGCAAATTAAAATTTTATTTCTATCATTTTTTCCATTGAATAAAATATTACCCTTAAAATGATAGTTTCCCTATTTGAAATCTAAAAATAAAATAGATTATCTTCTTCCGCATGTTATGTAAAGAAACTTGAAATAATCTGTCTTATCCATGGGGTTTTTGCATTAACTTCTCACCAATATTGTAACATTTCATTCTTCTCTAAATTAGTGTAGCCAGCAATTGTATGTTAAATGTGACCTTCACGTATGACAAGTTTACCCTTCAACAGCTCCCTGGTCTGTTTCTGAACTAAAATATGCAGGTTCTAGTTAGGGAAACAGTAATTGTATCCATTTCTCAGAATCAGTTGGCTACTACTCTTGAAAGATAAATTGTTAATTCAAAACATGCTGAAAATAGGTTGAAATTTCAGAGATAAACTTGTGTCTTATAATTAATTTTTGTGTCAGAGATATTCTATTGGTTATATTTACCATTATGTGAAACTATTATAGCAGAAAAATAAAATAATATATATTTGCAACCTGATTTGAAGGGTCTAAAGCTCAGGTTGACTTGTTCACTAGCCATATAACTAGAGAAAATTGCTGCCATCCTGATTTAAAAATAAAAATAAAAATACTGCCATCTTTACATATGTGCCTGCATGTACATGAAAAATGCCCCTATGATATCTTTATTTTTGCCAAACACCCTTGTCAGAAAGGTGGAAAATACAGAATTTCCACAGAGAAAGTAAACCAAATACCCCCAAAGACACTCAGGGACCAAAACAGTGATGTGGCATAGAACTCAGTATGGAACTATGGAGTCTGGAAGACTTTGGGAGTACAGACCCACTGTAAGGAGACTAGTTAGTGTTTGTATTGCCTGGTAGGTGGTACCCAAAGACTTCTGAAGGTCCATGTCCATCACCTTGTGTTTGTGAATGGCAATGGTTGGCTCTTTGCTTCCTAGGGTTGACCAGACAAAGCTGCATAGACAAACACATCAGAATTTGCTATGTATAGTGATTTTTGTTCAGATTTTGGGGACATTTTGTGTATTTACATACAAAATCCTTTGACTTGAAAAATACTGGCAATTTTATTTTTAAAAAATCTTGCTAGAACTAAAGGAAATCAATCTTACCATGGATTTATATATAATTACATGTGTAATATCTTGGAGAAAACAGACTCATTTCCCAAAATCTAGGTTATCTTCTATGTTTATAAAATAGAATTACATATAAGTGAAGCATTCTGTCTAATCACAGCATAGTAATTAAGAAGATACACTATCATTTTCACACCTGAGATTTTTTTTTAGAGCCCTGTGGTCTGTGGCTTCAACAGTAACTGTAAAGATGTGTGAGTCTGTTTCATTCAAGTTACAGTGAAGCACAGTTTGCTAAGTCCATAGAGCAGTTGACTACATACATAGGAACTAGGTTGTTGGCAAAAGATGAGGGATTAGTGTCAAGCTAGTCAGCTAGCAGAGAAGTGTACTCACATATTTAAGAATAGAACTGAACTTGCATAGCACCTGTCCACCTAATCCGCCATTCATGAGTCTATCCACCCGGTTCTCATCCGTCTTTAGCTCCCTGACTTCTCTTTCTCTGTATCCGTCTTGCCTTCTATTCAGTCAAGACATACTGATTATATGCCCTGTGGTATGCTCGTATTTACACTAGAGATTCCAAAGCCCTGACTGCAGGGGTAAATCTTGTGCCCAGAAATAGGTAGGGCACATGCTTTCCAGCCCCAACAGCTCTCCTATTTCTTCTCCACTTTTCATTCCACTGGTTGAGTAATTACTTCATTCTGTGCTTGCCAAACACTACAGACATCTTTTCTCCTTTTTTCTGAAACCCAGAGTTTGGCTTGATGAAGAATATGCCAATACCAAGGACATGAGAAAGCATATGTGCTGTAGGATGTTTTGTCCTGACTGTGGGCCAGGCAGGACAACTCTAGCTATGCATATGCCCTACCTATTTTGGAGCTCATGGCTCCAAAGACTTCTGTGTCCTCCATCTTGAGTTTTCCGTTATGTTTTTTTTTCTTTCTCGGAAGCGCATATCACTTTATTCTACCTAGTATATTTCTTTCAACCACTGTTAGCAGGAGCTAAACTATTTTACTTAATGCAGTTTCTATGCTGGCACACATTACAGCTCTACCACATATAAAGAAAAGGCCAAGAAACTCTGTTAGTTGGTGGTGTAGATGTTTGGGCCATAGCAGCAGGAAGATGGTGCCATTTTTATATAAGAGACACCACAAAGATTTCTAGCCTGTCACTTCTATTATAATCAATATAAGTATAAATAATTATAGTTTTATTTATGTTAAAAATATTTATAAATAATGAAAAATAAGGAAGCTGTTGCATACTTGAGTATCAAATTTGACAATTTAATGACTGCAAGTATTTAATAATAAAATAATATTCTTTATTTTTAGAATACCTCAAATTACCTTTATATCCCTTACTATAAACTTAAATAAACAAAAATTATCATATAGAAATTCTGACCAGATTTCTGATTATAATGTTTTCTCTCTTGTATTTATTTTTGTTTCTTCTTAATATAATAGTAACTATAACTGTATTTCACTTACAAATTGTCATCCTATTTTTCATATTCCCACAGATAATTAAAATTTTAATTTAAAAAGTGATATAATTACAGTGACACATTTCTCAGAACCACACCATTCATTCTGCTGTGCAAATATCTTTGTAGGGGCAACTGGGAATTAACAAATACATTCACTTAAATTTTGTCTTATGCTGAAAACTGAGGGAAAATTAAAATTGACTATTTGTGCATCATTATTAATCAAACAACCAATTGGAAGTAAGGATGGATATTATGGTCATTTCAAAAATGGTTTTTGGTTTTGGTAAGAGGGTCCTACAGCACTGTCTTCATATTTGTGAGTTACTGCACCCCAGCTAGTGTCTTCATTGCTGCCTTGTGTTTATTTGCTACAAATCCCTCTTGAAGCTGTGTGCATTGGTTACAATGATAATGAGGATGATAACCCAAACAAAAATTCAATCCTAAAAGCTAAGGGTTGTAGAGAGGTGTATAAGGTCAGCTCACTTCCAGCGCGTGCAGGCTCAATTATGTATGAATGAACGAAATACAGTAGGCAAACTGTCGCATACTACTAAATTTAAAACCTGCAACTTGGACAGTATTTAAACTGGCTTTAATGTTCCTTCGTAGCCCACTGTACATCTTCATTTATCTTTTCACATTTTCTTTCCCAACCCTGCTGCCTTAGAGGGTGGTGCTTTCACAGAATCCAGACCCAGTATTAAGTCCTGCTTGCTCTGTTGTCTCTAAATATATTCTTTGTTATTGGTCTGTTTTGTTGCTCGTTGCCCTTCACAAGTCTTTATGCAGTAGTAGTAGCGAATTACAAAGCTCTTCCAATGTCTTCAGCCATGCCTCCCTCTAGAATATTAGTTTGCTTCCGTAGAAATGTAGATCCATTTCTCGGTCTACTCTGGCCTCGGTGCCGTGGTCTGATTGCGATAACGGATGAGTTGCAGATGGGACAGCAACGCCAGTTGAGTCATCTTCGCTTCAGTTATGTTTCTCAACGGCAGTTTGTTGTGTGCAACCATCTCTGACAAGACTCAGTTGGCAGATATTTTTCTAACAAATGTTCATCCCAGATGCTGCTAGTATTTAAACAGGATGTGCCAAGACTCAGATTTAGATAGAAATATAAAATCATTTTATATTTTAAACCTTAAGAAATCTAAAATAATCTTGTAGAAAGAACAGTATTTCTCCATATGTGAATGTGGCCTGTACTTGATAAAAAATAGATTTTCAGTATTTGTATGTCAGAAAAAAACAGGAGCTATGAATGTGACATTTATATTTGGTTCTTACATTCACACCTCTGTGGACATGAGGGCTGAAAGCCCCACATGTGACATGTGCATCCTCATTATCTCCTACTCAGGGTTTTCATTGAAGTCTAATTAGCAAATTCTTGCCTTTGAGTTTTTGTAAATTGGCTACTCTAAGAGGTCTTGAAGGTCTAAACTAGCACTGAAAGTCAGTCTCTTTTGCCAGATGCCTACAGGTAAACTGGTTTGAGACTCCAAAGAAATTATGCTCCCCCGCAATGCTTTTTCTGCATTTGAATTCTAAACTATAGAAATGAAGAGTTTTCACTTTTTTGCATACTGTTTATTTATTGCTTGATAGCCCTCTGAATAAAGTTTCTGTCTGGATGGTCACAACCTTGTTTGTGTCTGTATGGTTGCTGCTACAGTGAGCAGAGAAACAAAGCCCAGGAGTTTAAATTAGTTTCTGTTTCATTACATTGTCCAGTCAGTTTCATGCATTGAAGTATTTAGCATTTTAATAATAAACACTTTCTAATTATTCAGGGTGTTTAGTCAAAAGAAAACAGCATTCATTTGTCAGATTTTAAAGTAGCAAAGCAATAAGATAGCAGCTAGATTAAAACAAAACATTACAGAATTTGTTCTAAATGAATTAAATAGGTTTAAATTTTCCTGAAAGTACTCTATTTATAGGCTGCAGTTGAGAGAAACAAAGTATACCAGCACACAGTTAAACTGGCTTTGACTCTTCACTTGGGACTAGTTCTAACTGATCACTGTGCTACTGTATGATTTGATTGTGCTGACAGTTACATGCCACTGTTCCCGTAATAACAATTTTTCTTCTTTGTTCAAATGAATTTCCTAATTACACGTGTGATGGGATGTTTTAATTCTTTTCCCTTTTCAAATCCACCTTCCTGTTGCAATGCATGATGGGCAGGCTCAATATTGTGCATGACACCCGCTACAAGTGTTGGTAGGTGCCAGCTTTGTTTCTTGATTATCTTAAACCTACAGTGCATCTCACAGCCCCTCAAAATCCACTGCTAAGTTTAACGTTTATCTATTGGGCAAGTCCATTTCCTCTTTACTAACACCTGTCAATTAAATGCCAATTTCTATTTAATTGACATGGCCCCACATAAATGTTTTCTTTCCACACAAGTTCCCTTTAGTCACTGTTAGTGGATTTTGATTGGACTATGAGTTCTGGTATATAAAAACAAGTCTATCTCATAAAAGTAATGACTGTATATTTTCATAAGAGTGAATAATAAAAAAAGAAATTTTATTCAAATGGATAACTGTACATACAAAGTAAATACCTGTATTTTATTTATATTTTAATGTCTTTGAACACTATATAAAATTCTTGTTTTTTAACTTAGCAAATTAAGCCTGTTTGTGTCAATTTTCTTGATTTAATGGTAACGAGCTTTTTCCCCCCCACCCTTTTTTTTTTCTCTTTCATCCCTCCCTCCCCTTCTCTCCTTGGAATGTTGTCCTGCTTTGCGCTGTGATTGCATGTCACTCGCTGGTGATGATGTCCTGTCACATGGCTTCTTGCTATGATAAATACCATGCCCAATGATCTCCTCCATGTTGCCATGGTTTCCATATTGCTACACTCTTCTGTATGTTTGCTTATATGATTTTCCCTCCGAAAGTTCCCATGGTGCACGGTGCTACGCCAGCCACTGTGTCCGCAGCAACAACATCTGCCACAAGTGTTCCCTTCGCTGCAACAGCCACAGCCAACCAGGTTTGCTAATTTACAGCTTTGTTTCTTACAAACCAACTCTTAATAGGGCCCAGTCCAGCAGCCTAACGCACATGGATGTCCCATTGTGCTCAGTGGGATTCGTGTGGACGTGAGAGCTGTAGAGGGTGCTTTCCTGAGCATGGGGTTTCAAAGATACCTCTTGTTGGCCTACACATTCTCTCTATGACAAGCAGCCAATTGCTTTTATGCCATTTATAAGTGCTCCAAAATTGTCGCAGCTCCATTTCTGAAGCTACTAAACTGATATTTACACAAGCAATTCTCATTTTTCTCAACCAATTGTGTAACTAATTTGGCCAACCAAAATGGAAGCAATTACAAGGTTATTATTGAAGCATCTGATATATATAGTTTCTCAGTTCATTCCTAAAGTCTTAATTAAAAGGAAAATATTAAAATGTATTCCTATGCCACAAATGACCACTCTTGTAAATAGAGTTTGATAATATAATTTTTATAATTTTTAATAAGCAGATTGCCTATTAAAATTACTTTTATATACAGCATCTCTCCACTTTGATTCTTGCTGCTTTAAATGGAAAAGGAAATTAAGTGCTCTAGTTCATACAGTTAGCCTACATGAATGAATGTTAGAGATTTAGAAAGGAAGAAACAGAAATCATGTATGATAAATGACAGATATCCTATGTTCATTGAAAGTAGGGAGGATAAACAATATGTAGAATTCTGCCAGGCAGTGGTGGCACACACCTTTAAGCCCAACCCTTGGAGGCAGGAGGCAGGCAGATCTCTATGTACTTGATACTGGCCTGGTTTACAGAGCGAGTTCCAGGATAGCCAAGTTAGAATTATTTTAAGCAGATGGGATCTACTTAAACTTAAATTGTATAGATGAGAATGGACTGTTTAAGCTAAAATAGCCATTGAAGGTATTTAAAATTCAAAAATAGCATTACTCCCACCAGCATTTTCTGAATTTTCTTTAAAGGAAATACTTTCTAGCTCTGGATTAATTATGCTCACATTTCAAAAATAAATCTGGTCTTGAATATGCAGTTTTGCCAGTTATGAAGGCACAGTTCAGTAAGGTTGGTAGTGTATGAAAGGACTAAACCAAGTTATGCATGTTCCACTCACAGAAGTTAGATGGAGTCTAGTGAGACTGAAAAGAACCCTCGTCAGATGGGATTCAGCACAGGGCCCTTGGAGCAGGCAGACCAGCTAGGAGCCAACAGTGACTGCTCTGAGGGGCAGCCACCTGTTTTTCGATTTTTGTTTTTTCAATATATCATCTTCTGTTGATGAACTTTCAGCTATTAGTATAGTTATTAAAAACTTTCAAGATCATAATGCCAGATGGATTTAATTTTAAGTTTCAGACAAGCCTTAAATGCTTCTTGGCCAAGAATCATTAGTTTTTCAGACTTATCAAAATACTCTTGCATTTATGCTAACACATAAGACTCATTTACAAGAATGCTAGCTTGTGCATATGTGGCATGATAGTTTGGGAGAAATATCAATAGATTCAGTGCAGTCCATTTATGGTGCACGTTGATGATGCTGGAGTCTCCTGTATATAACATACATGACTGTAGAATTGCTGGTGTAAGCACAACTATAGCAAAGCAAATTCAAAATGCCCTTGGCCACTTGGGTTGTAGGGGACACTTTACTTTTTGCATTGTGCTGTGACCATTTCATGCATAATTCCCTGGGTCTTCATACTATTACTATTTTACAACCAAAGAAAGGGGAATGGATATATATATACACACATATATTATATCTACATATACATACATATGTATATGCCTACAGTACATTAGCAATGCTGGAAATAGCTGATGCCACAAAATGCAGCCTGCATGCATGCAGAAGTTTATAGCTGGCCCTTCATCTGCATCGAGTGGTGTTGAAGGTCCTTGGTATGTTTCGACAGCCCCATCCTTGATGCTTCTACACTGTTGGGTGCAACATCCTGTCCTGCAGCAGCAGGAACAATGGTATGAGAAGCTTCATTATGCTTGGAGCACATTTTCGTGCCATTTGCCAATGCTGTAAAATTGTGTAAAATGTCAGCTGAGAAATGAAAATTAAGAGGAACATAGTGATATATACTCCAGACTGTGAATTATAGTTTTTAGCAGATTGAGATAGTCTAGTATATTTAAATTAAAACAACAAAAGCCTTCTTGTATGTGAGTTCATTGTTACCCCAACAAACTTTCTGAAATGGACTTAGTGTCATTGTATAGAATAAGTTTAAACACAGTCAGCAGTTGCTTTGCTCAGGTTCACACAACCAGGAAACAAATCAGTGTTGTTAGAACCAGCATCCTCAGGCCTCTGCTACACTAACCTGTAGGGCCGCCTTGCCCACATTAGCAGCCTTTAATTGGGTGTTGAAGAAGAATCAAGTCACAAGTTTGATTTCATATTGAAAAAAGCAACCTCCGTACTGGTTTCTCATTGTGTTTTCTCCCAAGTTCTCTGAGTCCTTGCCTATTTAAAATGCAATGAGATGTGTAGCTGAGGTTCCAAAGTCAGTTCATGGACAAACCTATTCTCTTTCCCAGTTATTTTTGAACTACTATTTTATAATTCACACCTGGTATATTTAATTTGGGTCAGAAGTTAAACACTTCAATCTGAATGAAAATGTTAGAAATTTGGTTGCACAAATTTAGGCAAGATATTTTTTACTGTTGATTTCATTATCATTGCTAAGTATTTGAAACCACAAGGGTGTGTGTGTGCGTGTGTGTGTAGGCCAACAAAAAGGGCTTCTTTTAATAACTGCTCTGCATGAATTTTTGATAGCTGTACTTCTCTTACTTTCTAAGTTCTGGTAACATCCGTAGAATAGTACTTAACACGAAGATTACAAGCAGTGAGGTGCTTCTCTGGCATTTGCGTTTACATTAACTTAATGTCATGTTGACCAGATGAGGGCTGCCACCTCACAGCTGAATTGCACTGTTTTTTATAAGTTTAATATTAAGATGTTTTCATCTCTTGGTGGTTGGCTTGCTTGCATGGATCATTCATTAAATAATTTTTTTATTTGCTAGATACCCATAATATCTGCCGAACATCTGACTAGCCACAAGTATGTTACCCAGATGTAGAGTTGTCGTCAAAAAACAGTAAGTTTATTATGCAATGTAATCACTGTATTTGTGGTTGGAATATGTTAATATTTAAAATACAAAGGATAATCTATTTTCTGGGTTTTGTTTCATGTTACAAATAAAGCATGAATAAAATATGACAGGTAATTAGAAGACATAAGTTAGGGATTGATGAACTTTTCTTAAAGGTCTACAGACCAGCTATTTTTGTCTGTATGGAGCATTTCAGTTTCTGCTGCAAGCCCCCCAGTTTGGTGTGAAAACACTTAGAGAATAGATAAATAAGTAGATGTTTTCACATTAGACAGTGGACTAGATTTGGCTCGTAGGCAGTCATTTGGTGACTCTGGGCATAGGTCATTAATTTTATTTTAACTATTATTTCACTCATTCCTATATGAAAATATATACCCACTTTTACCATGTATCACTGTGTACAGTATCAGTAGGGAACAATGGGTCTAACTCTTAAATAACTTCACTCATATATATATGTGTATATATATATATATATATATATATATATATATATACATATATACATATATATGTATATACACACACATACACACACACACACACTCATACATGTGGAACCATTATTTATCAGTTGAATAGTTAGTAGTTCAAGACAGCTAGCTTAGTGATAATAGGATTCTGAAGATGCTACTGTTCCTCGCAAAGGCTTGGACTCTTGTGTTTGCTTTCTGTAACATTGTTTTCAATACCTGCAAAATTGGCTGTTTTTCATCCTTAAGTTAGATCATGTGTGAAGAAGCATGACAAGCACTTATATTTTTACATTTACAAAAAGCCATTTAAACTTCTGTCTGGCCAGTAGGAGGATGGTGGTTCTTTGTTGCTTTTCTTCATATTTATTTGCTCATTGACATATTTGCAAGTCAGGTTTTGCACTGCTTTGTGTTAGTTACCATGTCAATGATGTGATGACGTAAATGATCTCTGAACTGTCTGCTAACATAAGAGAACTTTGAACGAGCTTCCTGTAAGGCAAAGATGCAGGGCTCCTCTTCTCAACAGCCATAGAAGAAAGCATTTGGACAGTGAAGGTGTTGTGTGTATGTGGAGAATAAGGACCTTGCAGAAGGGACAGAGTCAGGTCTTCAGTGGTGGTTAGAAAACCAGGTGCTAAGAATCCACTTGAGGAAAAGATGTGTGCCACAGTCAACAGTCATTTAAGTGGATTTTGATCCATTTTTAAGCTCTTACAAAGCAGTTCTGTCCAGGTATGGTGTTACACACTGTTAATCCCAGGACTTGGGGCTCAAAAATGAGTGAATTTCTGTATGTTAAGACCAGTCTGGTCTATATAATGAGCTCCAGGCTAGGCAGGATACTATCACAGGGAGACCCTGTCTAAAAAAGGAAGAAAGGGGGGTGGGAGATAAAAAGCAGTTCCTTCATAGTTAATCAGATACATGGAATAAGGATATCACTTTGTTGGTTATAAGTTTAGAAGGAGTTTTTTGTCAGCATGGTATCTATGTGTTGGGGTGTGTGTGTGTGTGTGTGTGTGTGTGTGTGTTATGTATATCAACTGTATATTTATTGAAAAATACTTTAAATAATTATGTGTTTTAACAAAGACTATCTTTTTTCCCATTTTAGATCATACAAAGAGGAAAGGACAGTGTGCTTGGTTAGAGTAAGGACGACGTCATTAGCCATATTGTATATACCGTCAAGCAACACACACAAAAATCCCTCAGCCACAAGACATCCACATATTGCATGTTAACCAGAAGAAAAGACAACATGGGAACTTGCTGCACACTGTTGCCTACACACTTTGTACATTCAATTGGTATTTGTGCTGAGGTGATATTCCTATCTAAAAGAACAACATTGTCTTTCTTTTGTAGCACAGAGTTATGCATTAAAATATGCATACATAATTAGTTTCCTATATATTCATGCCATCTTGAAAAGACAGACTATGGTGTAACCATGATTCTATTATGTATTGGTACGTCTGTAGACCAAGATATAATTTTTTAAAAATGAGTTTATTTCTTTCAAGGTTTACAAGTAACAAAGGTGCACCTTGTATTTAAAATTGCCATTAGAGCTGAGAGCGCGCATGCACAGTCATTTTTGTTTAAGAGTGATATTTTTACTGTAATAGATTGTAAGACGTGGTGAGGGAGGGATCTGACAGAGATGAATGTGCCAAGCAAAACCACAACTGTGTATATGTTAAAGCACATCATGGCTTTAAGTACCATGTTGCTAAGGATTCTCATGAAGTGCCATAGACTGTACATCAAACTAGAGTATTATTTCTTCAGTGTTATTATTTTCAGAGCCACGTTTTGTTGCTTATTTGCTAGTACTAATCAATCAAAGGGCACCATTCTTCTTTTCTTTTTCTTTTTTGTTTTTGAAACCAAAGCTGTCTCAGAAATGGCCAATTTAACTTTACAGTAACAATAGACAGCACAACACACACTCAATACAGATAAACTTTCACATACTGGAGATATATATAATAGATATATAAAATTATTTTAATGCATTGTAGTGTAATATTTATGCATATTCTACTATATAACATGTTATTCAAAAGGGATATGCCATTTCTGAGACACAGTAACAAAAAATGTTTGAGGAAATTATTTTGCTTCTATTTATAGCCTCTGTCAAAAGTCAAAAGACTATAAATGCTTTGCAGAAATGGTTTCACGTTTGCTTAAACGCTTCATCACAGTCACATTCAAAATAGTGACTCTAAACAAAGAGAACAGCACTGTCATCAGATGCATGATAAACCAAAATATGAAAATGGGAAATGTTTAATTAACCTAGTAATTGGGTGGGTTAAGTACATGGGTGAATTTTATATGTGATTCTTTTGTTCAGATTAACTGCTTATAGCCTTAGAAAGCCTTTTAAAAATTTTAAAAATAGATGTGCATTCAGTTTTTAAGAATGGATTCATCCAAAGGAATTCCCCTTTTTTGTGGTTTGGATGTTGCAGCTAGTAAAGGATATTTTTGCCCTGTTCAGCAGTTCTAAAAATCGCTGAGTAGGGGCCAGGTCACTGGCGGTTCTAGTGTGGAATGGGAGAAGTGAGAGTTCCGTTATAGAACTTTCCATACTTCCAAGTTTACTGCAAGTTTTTATGCTTGAGAGAGATGCTTTCTAATATAAGACTGATGTGTTGATTTTACTGATTGTACTGTACATCTATTAAAGCCTTAGATTATTACATTACGGGTTGGAACCCATACCAATGTAATTTCAATCGTGTTAAGAGAGTAATGGTGACTTCACATGTTAGTGTAGTTAGTTACATTATAGAATATTACTTATTTTTCTTGTTAAAATGTAGTTTTTCATTTCCTACATTTATTAGATTTTCATTTTCTATTAACAATTGAATACCATTTCAGTTTATAGACTATTGTTTTATTAGATTTTACCAATGAATTTTTCAAAATAGAGAAAAAAATTAAAGTAGTTTTTCCTTCATAACATACTCAGTTTTAAATTACATGTAGTGTCATATGAATATCCGTATTATTGTTAACTAAATGATTTATATTTTACTGATTTAATATTACAGTGTAAGAATGTCAGTCATTGTTCTTGTCTAGTTTTCATTAAAAGAACAAAGATCTTTTATATGGATATCTTATAAATATATAATCATTGCTAAGTAAGAAGTTAAGTTGTTGCTATGGCAACAATCCTGGCAGACAATTGAGTAATATTTTGATGATTTATTTTGTTTGTAATTAGTTATTATGAGAAGATCTAGATCCTAGATATTAGAATAAAATTTATTTTCTACTGTATCCATTTCAAATGTTAAAGTATTGTTTAATATTTTTGAAATCCCTGAATATCAGGCCTTGTTATAAATAAGCTGCATAATCAATAAATAGAACAAGGGACTTTTTGTTGATAATCCAAATACTCAAAGTTTACGTAATGAGAATTTTAGCGTGTGTGCAAACTCTTGGGGGTTGATGATGCTGCAGTTTAGCATGTTGGAAAGTCTAGAGAGAAAGGTTGACTTTTTGCACTTCTGTATATAGTCAAAAGAGAGAAACCTGTATAATAGCAAGATCTTATTTTGAATAAAAACGTCTATAATTACAAGGAGTTTTGTTAAGGCTAATGAAATGACAGACTGAGCAAAATTGCTTGCAAAAGTGGCACAGAGTTAGCACTCCATACCCTTCAGACACGTTGCTTTGCTTTTTGTGGACAGCTTGTAGTTTGCCAGGATTTTTCAGCTGGAAAGATTTGCCATCCTTCCAAGATCTCATGACTGACAAAACTCCATTGGGCCAAATCTGCCTGAAGATCATTACCAAAAATAGCAGGTACTTCAGCCATTAAGGTGAAATCATGGATCAGATATTCCTTACATTGTTTTCAAAACTACTGCATGTTTAAAACTTCAACAAAAAGAGAGAAAGAACTATGCTAAGGACACATATTATTCAAATCGGTTTCTGCCAATTTCAATGGTTTATTGTTCACAAAACGAAATCTTCAAAACAAGTATTGACTTTCACAAAATTTAAACCATAAACAGGCAAACCAAACAGCACACCTGTAGTTGTTATGTGATTGTTTTTTAATTGCTGTAGACCTTGTTCTTTCCGCAGGTGAAAAAAAGAAGTTCAAATTTCACAATTTTAATTTTCAAGTCAGAGGCACTCAAAAGAGCAAAATGTGACAATGGCCACTTGTTAATGACTTGGTTGCCCAGCCTTTACTCCAGCTGGCTACTGATGTTGCACTTACCAGCAACCCGACGACCACTTTCATCTGCTGAAAGGACAAAGCGCTTGATTTTACTATTATGTAATCACAACTTACTTTCTGCTTGTAGTTGCTTAAAATTATGTATTCTGTCTAGGGCTGCAATTTGTTTTATGCTTATTTTATTATTACTGCAGTAGTTGACTTTGCTGTATGGAAAAATAAAGTGAAATTGCCCTAATAAAACTTCTCTTTCTTAAGTATATTTGTGTATCTGAGATTGAGTAGTAAATTATTTCTCTGCATATCACATACATTACATACACCTTCATGAACATAGGAATAAATTGGTCTTACAGGATTGCAGCCAAGGCAGATAATGCCTTCTGACCAGTCATCTCTTGATGCTGAGAATCTAAACTGAATGGATAACTGATATTTGTCCAGTGCTTCCTAGAAGCCCTCAGCCCACTTCTCCTAATGCTGTACTAATTTAAATGATATATGAGGAAAATATATGTAAGTTAAAAAAGTTTTTCAATTCTAAATCTTTCTATTAAATGTAATTTACTTGACTGATCCCACTGATTAGCACTGAGAATCAGACAGTCTGAGAGACGCTTTTATGAATAAGATATATGATTGCACTGGATTCAGAAGGACACAAAGTTTATACACCTGGCTTCCACACTTGCATAACTCCTCAGCCCATGAGTGAGTATATGTGTATGTGTGTGTGTGATCCTGTGACTGTTGGAATTTGTTGACCAATAAATTGAAGTCTTAACAACACTACTAGTGATACATGGAATCGCATCCCTGATAGCTCTGAAGAACAGTTCTAATTTGAAGAAACTGTGTTTCATCATTTAGTTTTATTACATGTTTGCTCTGACCCTTGGTATTTGTCAAAGGATGCAAACTTCTCATTTGAAAGTTCATTTCTTTTTTTTTCCCAAAACTTATTTCAGGAATAATGATACTGATGGTAGATGCAGTATTTATTGTTGATTTGACTTATAGCTAACAGTTCTCTTAGTGGTTTGAGTTCTCAACATATGCAACCATTCTGCATGACACTCATCAAAGAGGAAGCTTCACAACTTTTCTGAATACCGTTAAAAACAAAAACAAAAAACTATGGGGCCTGGAGACATGGCTCAGCAGTTTAGAACACTGGCTGCTCTTCCAAAGGACCTGGGTCCAATTCCCAGCACCCACATGGCAGCTCACAACTGTCTATAACTCCAACTCCAGGGGACATGACACCCTCACACAGACATACATTCAGTCAAAACACCAGTGCACATAAAATAAAAATAACTTATTATAATAAAAAAAGAGCTAGTTCTCTCTAGTTTCTCAGGTATCATCAGATTTTTTGTTAACAAAAAAAAACTTTTTTTTCTTGGTTTTTTGAGACAGGGTTTCTCTGTGTAGCCTTGGCTTTCCTGGGACTTGCTCTGTAGATCAGGCTGGCCTCAAACTCAGAGATCCACCTGCCTCTGCCTCCTGAGTGTTGGAATTAAAGGTATGCACCACCACCGCCTGGCCAAACAATTTATTTTATTATTTTACTTACATATGTGTTTGTTTGACTGCGAGTGTATGCCACATGTGTGTGGGTGCCTTTGAAAGCCAGAAGAAGATGCCGGTTCTCTGGGAGCTATAGTTCCAGGCAGTTGTGGGTGCTGGGAACTGCACTCAGGTCCTCCCAACCATTGAGCCATCTCTCCAATCCCTATTTCAGGTATATTTTAATTGAATGAAAATACTATAACAAAAATCCATTTTAACATTTGCATTACTTCACATGAAACTGTACTCTATCACAACAGCAAATGAGTGTACTGAAAAATATCACATGTAATATTTTCCCCTCTAAACATCATTCAGAAGGCATTATTACTGAGGAGTCTACTAAAAGTCTTCAGTTCCTGGGGTGCCCTCTGCTAGGTACCAACTCTTTCTTACACACATGGGAAGAACAAAATCATTTGCTAAATCCAGTAATTCATCACACATTCAAGGGATTAAGTTTGTGCTCTGGAATGGCCCTGAAGCTCAGCAGCATATGATAGTGTGTAATCTTTCTGAGACACCGGAATGATAGTTTCCTTCATACAGATGTATAAGAGCCTGTGGAACACAGCAACACAATGTTGATATTTTTCTGTTTGTTAGCTCCATTCACTGAAGGGTCTGACAATCGCTTTCATGGTTGAGGCAGTCCGCTGTATCTTTGGGAGAATTTCTATGTTATAATTATGCTTAAGAATTTGGAGGGCTGGAGAGATGGCTCAGCCGTTAAAGGCTAAGCTCACAACCAAAAATATAAGAATTTGGAAATTTTTGAAAGCTTAGGATATATTCATTCTAAATGTTCAAAACCCAGCAAATTACCATCATGAAGTAGGAAAAAAAATGTGGTTTAGAGACGGAAATGTCCTAGGATCTGATTTGAATTCAACTGGCAGTGCCAAGATGCCACACTGAAATGACTTTATTGTGACCCCAGTGTCATTACCATACTTAGCCAGCCTTTGACACTGTCCACAGCATTTGAGGTGTTCACTCCCTGGTCATGTTTATCCAGGGCCACACTGAATAGCAGCTTCCCTCCGAAGTTCTCAAGAGGTGGGCAGCAGCTATCACAGGGCCTGTGGAAACCAAGAAAGTAGTAGCCAGGTCAGGGCTGGGGCTCAGAAACTCTGCTGTCAAAGTCCCTTGTGAATGGAAGATGGGAATGACCCAGCAAGGCTATGTCACAAAGATTAATAAGAACTGAACCTACAATGAGCAAATGTCATAAAATGTTTACTGTTAAGATGTGCAGAACTAACTCCTTGTTAGCTAGCTTTTCTGAAGCTGTGGGTTGTAGTCTATATCCCTAGCTTTATATCTGGTATCCACTTATGAGTGAGTACATACCATGTTTGGCCTTCTGAGGCTGGGTTACCTTACTCAGGATGATACTTTCTAGTTCCATCCATTTGCCTGCAAATTTCATGATGTCATTGTTTTTTTACTGCTGAGTAGTACTCCATTGTGTGTATGTACCACATTTTCTTAATCCATTCTTAGGTCAAGGGGCATCTAGGTTGTTTCCAGGTACTGGCTATTATGAATGATACTGCTATGAACATAGTTGAGTATGTGTCCTTGGGTTATGATTGAGCATTCCTTGGGTATATGCCCAAGAGTGGTATAGCTGGTTCTTGAGGAAGATTGATTCCCAATTTTCTGAGAAACCACCATATTGATTTCCAAAGTGACTATACAAGTTTGCAGTACTACCAACAGTGGAGGAGTGTTCGTCTTGCTCCACAGGCTCTGCTCACTCCCCATGGGAAGCCTACCTTTTTTTTTTTTTTTTTTTTTTTTTTTGGTTTTTTTCAAGACAGGGTTTCTTTGTGTAGTTTTGGTGCCTATCCTGGATCTCGCTCTGTAGACCAGGCTGACCTCGAACTCACAGAGTGCTAGGATTAAAGGAATGCACCACCACCTGGCTGGACTTACCTTCTTGTAGGAAGGAATGGGTGTGGGTTAGGGGGGAAGGCTGGATGGGTGTGAGGAGGGAAGAGGGGAATATCTGTGATTGGTAGGTAAAATGAATTAAAAATTTTTTAATTAAAAAAATGTGCAGAACTGAAGCCACATTTCCAGTGGTTCAAGTGAGGGGCTCACAGCAGGAACGTGTCAGTTCATTGTTCAGTGCTTTAAGGCTTTGACCTTGATAAGTTTCTTCAGCTTTCTGTGACAGTTTCTACTTCAGTAATTTAGGAACAAGGGTACAAACATTGCAGAAGAGTTCAGCAATTTCTAGGTTTTGCTGCAGTATGGAATTGTCTCCAGGATCTTTAAAGCATAGATACTTTCCCAGAAATCCAGTTTAATTGCTATGGAGAAAACTCATAGGATGACATCTATAAAATGCTTTTAAAAGGTACCTGGCATAGAGCAAGTAATGATAGTGATAACAAGAATAGCCAATTTTACTTTATCTGTTTTGCTAGCCCCCCACTTGATGTTTAACTTTCCATCCTAATTTTGGGGTCACCCATTGCTTTTTTGCTCCAGTCAGACACACATACACTGCCTCCATCCACTTGGGCCATATGTAGTTCTGTCCTTGTTCAGTACCGCACCACAGCAGATCTCCTGTGCTACATCCCTTCCGGTGAGGAGTTTCAAAACTACAGCTAAGGTCACTTGTCCTAATTTTTGTTGCATATATGATTCCTGTTCCAGCTGGATATAATAATAATATAACATGCCTAAGCCCTGTCAGATCGAAAGCAACTGCTCAGAAACATGTAGCCTTTACTGTTTGACCCTTTAAATTCTTAATAATATAGTCAGCATCAAACAATAAATGTATTACCATGCATATTGTGCTATTAAATGTATTTGAAATATGACAGCATCTAAGTAGCATGAATACACTTTAATATATGTGTCTGCTTATTTGAGTGCGTGGAAGATTGAACCTAGGACCTTGTGAGTACTAGGCAAGTGCTCTACTGCTGATCTCAAACTCTACCTGCTACATGTTTTATTATAAGTTTATTACATATGTTTAAATTAGCAATGACTTATCTCAAGAAACATTATCTGACAATATGTTATGGACTGTGCTATATATATTCTTAGATACAAGGGCAGATGGTAAGAACCGTATGATGTGGCTAATGCAAAGCAAATAAAGGATATATTTCTTCTAACTACATGATTATCCTGTTTTCCCATCTCCAACACCAGTCTCAGTCTTGTTAACTATACTACAAAGTAACTTAAATAAGATTAAGTAACAACTACCCTCCCTTCTTCAGTGGAATAACAATATCCTTAGTAACTCATTGTTCATTAAAAATAACCCAAGTACTAATACCTACTCTCACACAAATATGTATGTATAAAAGAAAATCATTATTGTGCACACATGTAATCCCAGCACTCGGGCTGTAACAAGAGTTAATTTGAGGCTATATACCAGCAGCATGTTTCAGAAAGTAAAAGAAATATTACTGCAGAAGTTTTTTTAATGAAATTTATTGTCAACTGAGGCATACAAAATAAAAATTTTATATACCATGAGGAAACTGATATTTTTAATGTGTATATTTGTTAATGGAAAACCAATTTAAACATATGTTGCCTCAAACATTTTTCATTTCTTTACAAGGAAAATGTGTTCACAATGCTTTCTTTTAGCCTTTTAGACCTACAGCACATAATTGTTCTCTGCTGCCACACCCTAGAGCT